CGGCGGCCTCTCGGGGCCCTTCGTTCCCCGGGCCTCGGCCGCGCTCGGGGTGCCGGCGTGCGGCCGGAGGAGGGAGAGTACGAGCCAAAGTCGTCGCTTGTAGCGTTGTCGCTACAAGGGGTGGGGCTGCGCCGCCGGAGGGGGTGCTGGCCGTGACCGGAGAGGCGGCTGCGGCCGGATCCGCCGGAGGTTCGCGTCAGGCGAGTCTCGTCGCTTCTGATCTCGAACGAGAGAACTGGCAGCGCTTTCGGTCGGTCCGTCTGTCTGCGCGGGGTTTGTGGAGCTGGGAGGGCTCCGAGCTCGTTAGGGCAGGAGAATAACGGGCGGGGAACGTAGTGCCTGCGAAGGCGGCCGTGGAAGCCGTCCGAGCTAGGCGTGACCTCCCAGGATCGCATCTGGAGAGCTTTCGGTGCTCTTCCAGCTTCGGAGGCGGGAGGGAGAGACACTGCAGATGAATACCCATTCCCTCGCTAGCCTCCAGAGTGGCCAGCGAGCGGAAGATAGTCTGCTACATGTGCTGTAAGTGGAGTAACGCATTGCCTTTGCGTCGGATTTCCCCTCTCATACTGCTTCTCTTTCTCTTAGGCACCATGCCTGCCCTCAGACCTCTCGTGAAACCTAAAATCATCAAGAAGAGGACCAAGAAGTTCATCCGCCATCAGTCCGATCGCTATGTCAAGATCAAGGTAAAAAGTCACTGGAAGTTCTTTAGGAAATGAATTCTGGGACAGTTGGGCGGTGTTGCTTTTAAGGCTGATGGTGAATGGAAGCATAAAGGGCCAGCGCTGAAACAGCGGGCCGTGCCGTAACAGCCTAGCACGGTGGATCTTCTTGGAGCTCGGTTTTGGCTAGAGTTGTTACCTTGAGGTGGGCATTTTCAGACTGATCTCGTTTTGTAACTATTAAATATTTTCTGCGTTTCTTCAGCGCAACTGGCGTAAACCGAGAGGTATTGATAACAGAGTTCGCCGGCGGTTCAAGGGTCAGATCCTGATGCCCAACATTGGCTATGGCAGCAATAAGAAGACAAAGCACATGCTGCCCACGGGGTTCAGGAAGTTCCTGGTCCACAATGTCAAGGAGCTGGAGGTGCTCATGATGAGCAACAAGTAAGTCTGCAGGATCTGTGCGCTCCCTGCCTCACGCAGAGCGGGGCACTGGGGCCGTGCACTGCCCATCCTCTAATGGCGCTGGGTCGGGAGACGGAAGGGCAGTGCAGTCCGGGTGGGTGGGTGGGAGACGTGGGAAGCTCTTGCTTTCAAGAGCATGAAGGTCGTCTTGGTTTCCTTAGTGCTGCAGCGCCGCTGGCGGGAGGGCACAGGGGGTGTCCTGGGGCTGGCAAACTCGCACCTTTGGCAAAAATACGACATTGTAGTGGTGGTGAACAGCACTGCACCTACATCGCTTTGATAAAGTAGCGATCGGGACTGTGGCTTCCTATCTGTTCAGACACAAGCCTAAACCTGCTTGCAGTCCCTTCTTTCAAAACAAAGTAATAAGAGCAATAATTAACACCATTTAAAAACTACATCTTACTGATTCTTCATTCGCAAGGAAAAAAGCAGAAGCGTTGATCTGTTGTGGAGGCGAGCTCCTGCTTCAGGCCAGAACGGGTTGGCCTTGATGAGGGGGGTGGGCAGTGCGTGGTTCAGCTCTCAGGCGGCAACGCATCTGCACGCTGCCAGCGTGACGGCTCCAGAGTGCTTTGCCTTGGCTGCTGCTGGCGCTGTTGGGTTGAGCCTGACGCGCAGTCTGTTTCCAACAGGTCATACTGTGCAGAGATTGCTCACAACGTGTCTTCCAAGAACCGGAAGGTAATTGTGGAGAGAGCTGCTCAGCTCGCCATCAAGATCACCAATCCTAACGCCAGACTGCGCAGCGAGGAGAATGAATAAACCAGTTTCTGCATCTGAGATGTATTTAATAATAAAGTGTAAAAGCAAACTGAGGTGGATGTTTTGAATGGCTGAAGGGAAAGGTGTGGGCTTGCTGCCTGTGTGCAGAGGGGCAACAGCTGCTGCTGGGGCTCAGCAGACAGTGGTGTGGTTCCCGGTGCAGCCACTGCGTGAGCCCGGCTGCCCAAGGGCGGACTCACAGGAGTGCCTGCGCTCGTGGTAGTGATTTGCAATGTCACCATGATAGCTAATGAATTCAGAGGTGCACAGAACTTCAAGTATATTTTTATTTTTTATACCACTCAAACAATGGATGTTCTTTCACGCGGTACTATAAATATTTTTCACATCAACCACTCTGTCAGAAAAGGAGAAATGGAAGCTTATTACAGCTCCATGGCTACCAGAAGCGTGTCACGGTGGCCTTGTTCTCTAATTTGCTGTTGCATCTCTTAAGGCTTTTTTTTCCCCTATGCAAAGCAGGATTTGAGGTTGCAAACCACAGAAGGGGTAGTGGGGGCTGCACCTCTGGCTGCTGACTTCCACTTCTCTCCCTTCTGTGATGTTAAAACACTGAACACCAGCTTTCCTGCCAGTGTCCACTGCTGTTCAGTGACCAGAGCTCAGCACAGATCAGTGCCTTTGTGGCTGATTGCTCAACACAAACACTACACTGCTTGAAAGGGGAAACAAGCCAGAGTTAAATGCCAAGAAAAGCTTAGTGTAAGGTTTGTTACCATAATGCAATCAATCTCTTCTGGAAGACGGCTGGTTGAGGTATTTTGCAGTCAAAACTGTAAAAATGGAAGCCAAGCAGGATAGCTTTGTATCACCCAAACACCGCAGAAACACTGAACTATCGGGGCCATTCCGTGAAGTGAGTGAAGCGAGCCCCAGGCGGAAAACCTGGGGAGCCTGGGTAACAAACTACACCCTGCAGCTCCTGCTGCTCGGCCAGCATGAGTCTCCGCTTCTTGAAACAGGGCCTGCGGTTGTGATGCTCATCAGTAATTGAAGAGGTGACTTTTCATTTTTAGCCATGTTATTTAGTGAAACAATATAAATATGTTCTTCAGGCAATTTGGGGTAGAAAGTGCATGTGCAGTGGTTAAAAAACCCAAAACTTTTCAACTATTTTTCTTTGTCCTGCAGTAAGGAAATATTTCAGAAAGTACTTTCCATTTTTCATGGAACCATGCTCAATTTCGATTGCTTTGTATGCCCCTTAAAAAGCTGCTGAAAAATTAGAATACTCGTCTTCCAACCCTCCCCGCACCCCAAGGACACATCTCCCTTATCTCGCGTATCTTGTTACACCTCAGCGAGGTGTCTGCTGCTTGCAAGCGCAGCTGGAACCAGCCATTTTCTGCTGTTGGTGCCCAGTGACTTGCAAGCAGCTGCTGCACTAGAGACCAGCTTGATGACATTCTCCCTTGGCCCGTCTGCAGCGTCTCCAGTTAATGCATTGCGAGGGCAGGAAGGTGGCGGAGTAAACAGGCAAATTTTACTTAGCTCACGTCCATTGCCTCTGAGGTGGGTAGGGAAGCAGAATCTTTCTGGATGCTCTCAAAAAGTGATGCCATTTCAGGATTGGATCTGATCTGAGATGAAAACTCGGCCATCACTGGACTTTTCTCTACTTCAGGGATGGTCAGGAGAGCAGCTACTGCTCTCATGGCAGATCGCTTCAGTTCGTCCTGCTTCTCAAACTCCTGCTTCACAGAACCGGCTTTTACCTACAAATCCAGAGCACCATTTTTAGTTGGCATTTAGGAAAGACAGTGCAGGCACAAAGAATCAGACACGCCAGCAGAGGCGGAGATGAGCAGATGATTTTCTAGCCAGCGGAGTATGGGGAGCGGGCAGCTCAGCAGCAGCGACAGGGGTGGCTAACAGCAGAGGTGGCTTTGTGGCAGAACCCACCCTGAGTGGGTCACACTCTCTGCCTGATCTTACCTTTGTGGAGCAAGTCGCCCGGAGTGGCTCAATCAGTCGCTCGAGCCGCTGCAGCACGGCGTTGGGACAGAGTGTGGACAGCCGAGCCAACATTATGAAAGTCAGCATCTAGACAGAGGAAAGATAAAACAGGCATTGCTTTGCTGCATTCTCTGACTCCCCCAGGCTTGGAGTGTGGATCCTCTCTGCCAAAGCCCATCTGGTCGTTCTCCCTGGGTGTCATGCTGTACCCACACAGTGGTGAGTTTCTTTGCACTTGCGCAAGGGGTTTTGGGAAGAGCTTTGGTCGTAATGGAAATGCACCCACTGGCAGCCAACCTGTCCCAGGTGCGTGTGGTGTGCTGTAAAGGGCTGACAGCCTTTGAGAGAAATGGCAATGTTCAGCCCAGAGATTGTGCTATTGCTGCACCCACGACTCAGTGGAGGTAAATCAAGTAATAGTATGAAAAGGATGTAGTGCTTCCTATTAAGCTATGAGGCCATCAGCAATGACAATGCTGATTTTTTTTAATACAGTGTCACTGGCCCCACTAAGCAAGTAACAATCTAAGTTTAAAGGCAGAAGGAACTTATTTTAGACTTTGGTAAATTTCCTATAAACCCAGCTACACCTGGGTTGCATTTTCAAGGCTGCCACAGTCGAATTAGAGCTAGACAATGTCAGGTGAAAGTCCGCAGCAGCCGCAGAGAACAGGAAACGGCATGGCAGGGGCACTCGATGCTGTGGTGACACACGGGCTCAGTTCAAGCCCAAGCCCCCAGAGAACAAGTAACATCAGTGATGTCACCACCCTCCAGCAGTTAAGGCACAGCTTCTACCCGAATGTCATAGTGATCCTTCAGTCCATCCTCCACATGGTTCAGGTACTCATAGATATCCAGTCGGTCGAGGCAGCTCTCCAGCAGTGTATACATGCATTCGAAAGCAGCTTTCCTCACGTCAAGGCCATCATCCACTGTATGCTTGAATGGCCCCATTTCTACCTTAAACAAGAAAAAAAAATACAGCTGTCACCTAACAGACAGGGTGACAGCTTCATCTCAGCTTAACAGGCACTGAGCCACTGCCGTACTGCACCCAAGGTGAACTAATGACATACCTCCCGGATGAGTTCCTTTCTGACCTTCGTTTCATTATACAGGCTGGGGAGAACTGCGTTTAGTAAATCTCGGATTAAAGAAGGTTTGTTGTGAGCAGCAGAATTAAACATGGCTAAAGCCACACGTCGAACATTCAGGTCTGGATCCTGAAGAGTTTTTAAGAAGTCACCTGTGGGATAAGAACACGCAGTCAGTCCTGCTGCAGTGTTTTAGAAGTATTTTAAAAGGATATCACAGTGTATTTCAAGAAGCCTGGTTACAAAAGCACCTATGGTAAAATAACTCTAGGGACAGAAACACGACTTTCCTGCATTTGGGCATAAAACCAAACCAGATGATTCTAGCTACCTCATCCTAAAGTCAAATCATAAGCTTTGGTATTCAAGGAAGTTGGGTTTTCTTTTTTTCTTACTTTGATCTCATCTGCTCAGACTTCTCTGAAACAGAAGGCCCAGTTTTATACAACAGACATGAGATGTAGGGTCCCCAGATGTAAGACCCTTTTAATGTAGGTTATATTTTCCAAGATCCTTGTCATGAGATGCCTGAATCGTAAGTTTAAACACTGAAGGAACTTATGCTCCCTAAAAAACTGTCACCAATAGAAAATAGCCAAGAGCGAGGCATCAGAGAATTTAACAAGGACTCAGGTGACAGTGTTGCTCTTTAATCCCAAAAGCAGAGACAGATAAAAACTGGATTAGGTGAGGTTCGCATAGGTGTGAAAAATCCCCAAGCTGCTAACGACACCTAACATCTCACGTTCCCAGCTCACGTTGCTGTTTGTGCTAGCATACCTATGCAGCCTTTCAGGAGAGCATCAATAGGCTGAGGCTGGTCTGCAATTGTGAATTTGATTGCAGTTACCACTGTGCTCCGGGCATGTGGAGAGCCTGCGATGAAGATGGAAAGAAAAAACAGTGAAAGGTCAAGAAATAATATCACTGCTGTAACTTTGTAGTACCCATTCTGCTCTCGGTCACGTTACACGCACGTTGAAGAGGTAAGAACAGATTTGTCTTGACAACCTCCTTGTTTAAATCCCACTCCCGCACAATCTCCACATGTGGTCTCTGTTCCTAACACAACACCCTCCTGCCCCCTGTGCCAACCAGTGCTCTTTTGATCCCCCCTTGCAGAGATCCCTTGTGTTTTCTTCTCATCTCTGCAGGCTGGCTTTGCTCCCTGTTGTTCCCACCAGCAGTTTACAAGAGGACTTTCCAGCAAAAGAAGGCATTTTCCCACTCTCACCATTGCCCTTGCCGTTACCTGACGACAGCTGTTTTTTCAGCCGAGGCAGCAGCTCAGAAGGATTCACCAAAGTCAGCTTCCCCAAGCATTCAGACACCACATTGCGCGTCCCTTCCTCTGTGCACTCACAGTGCTTGAAAAGCAGAGCCCAAATATCCTCCACGTAAGGTTTGAGGCCGTCGGCTGGGGAGGAGCTGATGACTTCTTTCAGAGAGTGCAGCAGGAGGTACTGTCTCTTTGGCTGGCTTCCGATCTCTTTCAGTATGAAGGGAAGATACTCCTTAAGATTCCCAACACTGATGTTCCCCAACGCATAGGAAGCAGCAGATTTCACCTCTTCGCTGGGGGAAGTGAATGCTTCCAGGATGACAGTTTTCAGCTCTCTCTGAGCACTGAGGTTTGTGGTGCGACCCATCTCTGCCAGTGAAAGGAAAGCTAGCACTTTAACAGCAGAGCTGGACTTCGAGTTTTTTACATCCTGGATAAACTGGTTCACCATCACAGGGGCTTCCTTTGGGCAGGCTGAAGAAAGGGCTGCCACGCACTTTGCGACAGAGTAATACGCCTGTTTATGTAACGTCACCGATGCCCCAGCTGAACTTGAGGAGTAAATAGGTGCAGTCAGCTGCTTCATCAGCTCTGAGTAACCCACGGTGGCCGTCTTTGTCAGAACCAGAGCCTGGAAGAAGTCTATGATGGCGTTCAGCGCCCCTCCTTGAAGCAAAGGCGAGTGGACAAGCTGAAAGAT